CACAGATTTTATCATAACGAGCATGATGAAATTTGCAATGATGTTGATGACAATGTTGAGTCTCATGTTGAAATTAGAGCTGTTAAATTGGATAGTTTCATATAAACACGTATCTGTCAATCTTGGATGCAATGTTGCAGGTCATTAGCAAATTAAGCTTGTCATAAAAAATAATAGGTGATGATTATCATGGGAACAAGCTGTCAAAATGTTTACTTTTATGGAGTTGGTGTCAGTGACGAAGATACAGTCATTAGAGAGTAATTTTTACTTAATCAATCGTCAGGCTACGTTAATAGGCACTCAAATTGTCAGTGTTTCACAAACATTTTCCAATTTCGGTCAAAGTTAAAAATTTGTCATTTTTTGAGGCATGGCTTTCATGGGATATTAATGATACAGAAGTCACAGTGATGTGGAAACAAGAAACAAGAAACTCTAAAGGAGCGGCTTGAATTATTTTAAGAAAAAGTTATAATTTTTTGGGGGATGAAAGGAAAACTCAAGGCAAGGGGGATGTTCCTGAAAAAGCATTTCATCAAAAATCAATTCCAACTCAAAACAAATTCAAGATGGCAATAAATCCACCCCAATAAATAAAGTAAGTCAAGAAAAATCTCTCATCTGCCTTAACACCTTTTTAATTTTCTGATTGTCTAGCCACATTTTCGATTAAAATATAATAATTCAAAAAAGAAAATTTCAGTTATACAATTATATCCTAGCAGTGGCGCAACCACAAAAACCGCAAAATCGAATAAGTTTTCAGCATGTAGCAAAAGTTTCAAGCGTAGAATGATGAAGTTGAATTAACAATGTTTTCATATTTCCTTGACCCATCTCAAATGTTCATTCATCATGACACTATCCCTCCCACACTTCCCATATTCATTCATCTACGAATATCTGCATTAAAAACTAAAACAACAACTGACCAATGCCACATGAAGCAAAAACAAAAACTCGACGGAGTAGAAATTAAAGCTACACAAATAATGAATATGAATAAAAAATAACAAAACTACTAACATTGTGAGAATAGTTTAATTTAATTTATCTCTGTCCTTAGACTATACACATGATGCATACGAGTGTATCAAAAAATAAAAATGCATAAAATATTAAAAAAATCATTTTTACGACATTCTCGATATATGTAGGACATATAAGCGAATAATAATAAATTACTGGCTAGTAAGAGGAAGGCAAATTTTTCATTCAAGTCTCTCTCGATGATGGTGATGATGATGTGACCCGGAAAAACAGAAGAAATATATTGAAAGGAAATTCAATCGACAATTTGGCGTAAAAGGGTCTGGTCGGAAAACGATTTTATGTCCATAAAGTGATAGTTTTATCGTTTGAGTCGTGATTTTGATGTATTATGAGAGAATATAAAGTTTAGGCTAGGTTGAAAGCTTTGATAAGAATTATTTGATAACTTTGAGAATAAATTAATTTTTATCGATCTTTTGATTTTTGAATTTTGAGGTTTTTGAATTTTAAGATTTTGAAATTATTTAAACAAAAATTTGAAACAAAATTGATGGTTTCATGATACAATAAGCAAAATATTAGCTACATGCTTATTGAAATCGAAAGATTGATACAAAATCAAAAGGTTGTGAAACTTATGATGTCTAATTCCATCATTTTAGCAAAGTTTAAAACTTTAAGTCTAGTTCAAAAAATTCAAAAACATTTTAACTCAAAATTAATTAATTTAAATTAATTTTACTCATTTCTCGGTTTTTGCCGACCTCCCCTTAACAAATGTTTTTTTATCTCCCAAACGACTGAGAAAAATGATCATTTAATGTTAAATTCTTATTACTGTTGCTTTTCCGACCTTTAGACTTGCCAAATATATTTCCATTTCAATATTTTTCCATTTCAATTTTCAACAATCTTCGAGAAGCTTAAAAGAGCACAAATGAAAAAAACGTCAGGCAATAAATCAATGTTTGATGAAGGCATAAGAATGGCAAACGTATAAAGAACTTAATAATATTCAGAGATCGATGAAAATACTTCTTAAAAGTTGCCTTTTTTGTGCTGAATTTAGAATCAATACCTTTTTATTTTAACACCAAACAACAAGATGATGACGACAATGATGATGGATCAAAAACAAATGTATTGAGGGAGTGAGGAACTGTGAAATGTATCAAAGTGTATAAAAATAAATTCATTTCTTATAAATTGTGAATAAGATTACAAAAGAATCAAGAGAATCGAAGAGGAAGCAATGTTGAAAACTTATGCAAATCACATACAATCTTATAAATTCCTTAAACAAAATGAGAATAAAGTATGTATGGCACCTTTGTAAGACGTATGATGGGAATAAAATCTGTTATTTTTGCGTGAATGTGAGAAATTATTGTATAGGTACTGAGTAGAATAGAAATTGAGCAGAATGTCTTTTTATCAAATCAATAAATTTTTATCCATATCAAAAGAGCCTCAATTCCTGATGAGTAGATATTGTTGTATGAAAACTGATTTAGGTAAATTTGGTAATAAATTGAATTATTTAAATTGATGACAAGGTTGATGTGGAGATATTTCAAGAGGTATTTAGAGAACTTGTTTTGATTTACTTGAGCTGTTAATGAATTTACAGCTTTTGGAATCCTTCATATTTTGAATTTTTAAGTTTTGGAAATTTAAAAATTTAACTGACATTTATGTTTTGAATTTTAACTGAAATTTATGATTTAGTTTAAACTGAAATTTATTTTTAAAATTTGAACGGTTCGCGAAGATTTGAATTCAAAGGATTCACAAGAACTAAACTTCAACGGCTTTAAAAAGTTTGAAAAAAAAAATCTAAATTTACAAAAGTCGTTGATTTTCGTAGCTCAAATTCAAATTTTCGAAACAGTTCTAAATTTTTTTTGAGTTTCAACTTCTCTCTATTTTATTCTTATTATCACTATCACATAAATTTAAAGGCTTAAGTGACCTAAGTTGATAAAAATCAGGCAAAATGAGTAAAAATTTTGGAAGAGAAATGAACTTAAATTATCTTAGCTGAAAATCTTTTAAAATAAAACAAAAAATGAGGTTGAAAATTCTTACGATCTTAAGACTAAAGATTATTTTATTTTATTTCATCTAGTCTAATACTTTTTTGAGGATATAACATAAGACATAAAAAATCCCACTCACATAAAAGGATTTTAAAAAAGAAATCAGAAGAAAAAACTGATAATTCCGGCTAGATATCTACGGAACACAAGTTTTATGCTAGATAGAGACATTATAGTTGGAAAAAATAAAGCTTCGTCACTTTTATTTTATTTTGTTTTGTGCCATTTTCCATCTTATTTTCTTCATTTAATTTCCTTTTGTACGAAATAACAATTCAATATACTTTCGATATTATTAAATTTTATATGAAAAAAATAAAACAAAAAAAATGTATGGAAAATTCACCAAAAAAATTAAGGGGTCTACTGTTTTCAATTTTGAGATTATGTAACTTTAATTTTTTTTCTTGAAATTTATAACAGATTTTCAAAGTTCGTGAAGTTTGAGCATCAAAAAACTGCCAGAATTGATCATTAAAAACCATAAAATCTTTAAATTTGAAAGCAATAGACCCCGAAAAAAATTGTTAGTAAATTTTTATGAAAAAACCAGAGGTCGAAGCTGACATGAGTTCGCTCCGGTTCGCTAAAAAACCGATTCGATAACCGGTAAATTTGTATAAAATGTTGTACTTCACAAGTGCCAACAGAAAAAAATCTATTCAAATTTGATTCGGTTTTTTAGCGAACCGGAGCGAACTCTTGTCGGCTTCGACCTCTGGAAAAAACTCTTTCAAAAAACTCCAATCTATAATTGCTTTCGAATCATGATAAAAGAGAATTTCTTGCGAAATATTTAAAAATATCTGAAAAAAATCTTTAAAATCGTTATAAATTTCACATAAATCTAGTAAATGATAATGAAAAACTAATAAATTCTTGAAATTATAATCTTACCGAGAGAGATGCACATGTCATGTATAATACAATATGAGATAATATTACACGTTTAAAAAACATCATAATAATGAAAGAAGAAATCCCTTATATCATCAAAAGTGAATAAAAATAAAATAAAAAAGTGATTCAAAACAAAAATAAAAATTTACGAGTTTCAATTCGCTTTGCATGCTTGTTACCGCTAGCTGTAATGAGGATTTCTTAGAATTTTGTGTTATTTTCTCATTCGGAAGTTGAAAAGTTTATTTCAGATTATCTACATGTTAAGGCATGCAGCATTATATGCTTTTCATTTGTACGTAATAATTACGACGGTTTTACATTGCAGGAATATGCTGAACAAATTCAGATAGAAGTAACAAGCATGAGAGTCTTACAACAATTGTAAGTTGAATTAAAAGTTTTAAGTGATTTTGCTTTTTCAGGAAGTATGTTTATGTAGGTATGCTAAACACTTAAGCTTGAGAGCTTTTGAAAAAAGAGCTTTTTTAAAAAAATAAGCTTTTGGGTTTTGAAAGTTTAAATACCGTTAATAAAATTAAGTTTAGATTTTTATGCACACACTGTGGATAAATCAAAAGCTTAAAATTATTAAAGTTTCTAAATCATTTTTGTGTCTAGCAGCCTGAATAATGCAAGAATCAATTCTGGTTTGACTTCTATGATTTATGGCTTGATCTTTAAGTTTTCCAAAATAATAAGCCATAATCCGCTAAGAAGTAATCAAAAAATCAAAAATTGATAAGTTCACCGAACTCTTTAAAAAAAATTAATTATTTTTCAAATTTGTGACTTAAAGTTGCTGATAACGATTGTTATCTTCAAAATGTTTTGATGATGACTTAAAAAAGAAACTTAATTACATCATCTTTGTCTGCCTTAGCAACTAAGACTGAATAATTTGACTATTGTTTAAAGATGAGGTTTGCTAAAGATTCATTCATTAATTTTCAAAATTCTGTTGCGATTCATCAAATTTTAAGTCTTAATTTGGATATTAAAATTGACACTTTAAGCATCCAATTTTATTTTGTGATCTTTAAAAGATGCAGTTTCATAAACATTAAAATTAATTACATATTAACATAAACATATTCTAAATACTTCCATCATGACTTGTTACCAATAGCTTCTTTGAGCTTGTCTGCAAAAACTTCAGTAAATCTAAACTTTTGAATCTTTCCAGAAACAGTTCTTGGGAACTCATCAACAACAATGACATATCTAGGAACTTTAAAATGAGCCAATTTTCCATGACAGAACTTCTTGATGTCATCTCGTGTGACTGGTTTTGTGTTGTCTTCTAGTCTGATGAATGCTGCAACTTCCTCGCCCATTCTATCGTCTGGAATGCCAACCTGATATAGAAATCAAAGGTTAGACACATAAATAGCAAATGATCTGAAATACTTACAACATGTGTTTCCAAGATATTGTCATGTGTATTCAAAAAGTCTTCAATTTCTCGTGGAAATAGATTTTCTCCACCACGAATAATCATTTCCTTTAGTCTTCCTGATACTTTGCCATATCCATTTTCGTAGAGTATGAACTGATCTCCTGTCTTGAACCTGGGAAGGAAATCATTTTAAGGTAATGTTCAAGTCAAACAACAATGCTGATAAAGCATGAATATTAGGGAACAGGTCTAGATGCTTACCATTTATCACTTCCTAAAACTTCATTGGTCTTCTCAGGATCATTCCAGTACCCCAACATTGTAGAGTATCCTCGAACCCACAACTCTCCTGGTTGTCCAAATGGAACTGAATTTCCATCTTTATCTACAATTTTCACTTCCAAATGACTGTTACAAGCTCCAACAAATTCTTCAACTGACTCATTAGCATCTTCTGGAAGTGACTGGAACACAACAGCACTGGTTTCAGTCAATCCATAAACTGATTTGAATTTTTTGACATTTAACACATTCACGACATCCTTTACTAGTTGTGGTGTGCATATACTACCGCCTGTATTTGCCAATTCAATTTGAGGTAGATTAATGTTCAGTTCCTTTTGCTTGGCAACTAGATCAACAAACATTGTGGGTGTGCCATAGATGACATTACAATTTTCTTTCACAATTGCTTTGAGTGAATCCTCAGGACTGAAATGTGGCGCCGGAAAGACTAGAGTCGCACCATGACACAAAGCATTTGCTATTGATATAATACAGCCATAAACGTGAAATAAGGGATTATTCAGGCAAACTCGAGCGTGCATTTTATGGAATTCATGTCGCAAGCCTGTTTTAGATGGATAATAAAATAAGAATGGGGATTAATTTGTTAATTGATCAGAAAGAAGGAAGCTTATGTCCTTTGAATATTAGAAGTGCAAACATAAAATCCTTACCAACATCATATCCGTTGTTAATCATTGAAAAGTGGCTAAGCAATGCTGCTTTTGGTTTTCCAGTAGTTCCTGATGAAAATTGAACATTACATCCGCTGTCTGGAGATATTGTTGACTGGATGTCTTCAACACTTTTTAGGTCAGCTTCTGATGCTAATCCTATTAAGTCGTCGTATTGAATGGCGCCACTATTGTTGGTCAGGAAAGAAAGATAAAATGTCAATGTCTATATAAGAGTTGAATCAGAATAGCTTGAAATGTTTTCAAGGTAGTTCCGATCGGGATAAGGAGTCGTGAGCATTTATTCTAGTTGATGTTCAACTTGTCTTTAAGGAATAGAATTTTATCTCAAAACATTCTTCAAATAATATGAAACTCTAGTCAGCCTAGTTCGAAATTAACCAGCACCACAGAATCACTATCAGTAACAAAACAAAGATAATATTTCTGTTGTTAACTCTTTCGCGATCAGTTCCGATTCAATCAGATAAACAAGTGTCTCTTAATTTATATCTTGCAATTATAAGCCATAAAATTTCTATTTTAACAGATAAGATATCAAGATTTTTTTTAAGCTATATACTCACGGCAGTTTCTTATCGCTCTTTATTATGACTTTTTTCAATGAGCTCTTTGTGTTGTCCCAATCATTACTTCCACTTTTTGAATTTGCCATGTCAGGGATTAGTGATGTAAGCATATTGTAGTGCTTCTGCTTCCTAAATACTTCTGGAGCAATGATAGCCTTGATATCAACTTTTTTGATGCAATATTCAAGTTCAGGAACTGTGTATGCTGGGTTCAATGCCACCTGATTTTTTTGAGAATACACAAATTAGTTTTTTATTATGAATAAATCATAAATCTAGAGTCTGATTCAAGGTTGGTGACATTATCACCAATTCAGTCAATAACCTGCTGATTCTGGTTTCTTACGTCATTGACAATGTTGACAAGCCAGTGGAAAATTTTCGGAACTGTTACCAATTGCCAACAACAAAATATTTTCAATCCGCAACCACAATCAGTGGAATCGTACGATACTTACACAGATAAGACCGGCTCGTGCCATTGCCATCATGCTGATATACCAGAACTCATAATTTGGTGACCATATGCCAACTCTATCGCCTTTATTAAGTCCGAGATTTAATAATCCACTTGCCAATCTGTCACTCTGTTGCATAATAATAAAAAAATTCAGCAACTTTATGCATTTATGGATGCCAATAAAATGACAAAAATATCATACCTTATCAAGTGCTTCCGCAAATGTGATTGATGAATTTTCTGCACATGACACGATTGCTTCCCTGTCAGGATATCGATTCGCTATATTCTTCAGGCATTGTCCGAATGTTAAAAATTTTAATGGATCGTCTTCAACCCTATGGATGTAACTTGCAGTTGCAGTTTTATGGATTTTTGAGGAGCTAAAGTTTCTTGTAACTGATTTAGAAACTTTTTGACTCAAAGTACTTAATCGCTTGAGAATCATTGTTATCTTAATTGATAATATTCTTTATGTATGTTTTTGTACTATGTGTGGCTGTTGACTGCTCAACGTTCGCGAGAGAACTGAATCAAGCTCTTGTATGTTTCTATAATCAGTGAGTTGAGTACGTTTATTATTATTTACAAATCATTATCAATTTAAGTTTGTATAATCGTCATTTTAATGATTGTCATATGCAGTGAGAGAATAAACAGAGAGTCAGACTAGATTCTCCATTAATTTGTAACTGTTTGTAAGCTGATAATGGAAAGAATCCAGTTCTATCTTAGTTCTTTTTACATTTTTGCAAATTTGTAGATAAGAGTTTTTTTATTTGGTGTGTGTTGTGATTGACACAAACATGCTAGATTTACACATTTTTTTTTTGTGTAGTAAGACTGAGTATAAAGAAGATCAGTTTGATTTATTGATTAAGATAAGTCAAAATCAGCTGTAAGAAACAACATAGTGTAAGATATCAGCTGTATGCTTCGTAGATTAGCATATTTAAAACACAAAAAAAATTCACACTCAAAAATTGAAATGCGAACAATTCGAATTCCAAAAATCGAAATGCGAAAAATTCGAATTCCAAAAATCGAAACACAAAAATTTCACATTTCAACAATCGAAACACGAAAAATTCGAATTCCAAAAAATGACAGACGGAAAAATTCGAGTCATAAAAGTTGAAACTCAAAAACTTTGAAATCCAAAATAATCCAATTCAATACACAACTTCTGTTTGTCGGCCTCTTTTCTATAGAAAATATCACAGAACTCACCTTGCGAAGGTCAACAGAACAAGTCCCTGGTTAATGATCAATTTTTGGTCGAATTCCTCGTGATACGCTCCTTCTTAAATCAAACAACTTTCGTTAGACGACTTAGTTGCAACTAGCAAGATAGCCAAGTTTTACCAACTTTGACAAAAACTGCTAGTTAAACACATCACCGGGTTACATTAAATGCCGTGATGCATCTATCATTAAGGGTGTGCGACCCATCTGGAAGCGCCTCTATAAAGATCAATGCCGCCATTAGTCAACCAATTTCAATACCACTGGCCTTTACGTCCCCTCCAAACCAACAAGGACAAGCTGTAACACCGTACGGCATGGCTTGGAGTCATGAATGGTGGGCTCACGTTCAGGATTTATTGGGCAAAGATTTTATTATGACTTTCAGCGGCCCGGAAGTATTTGTTGTGAATGAGTTGGAAATATTCACTAAATACAAAGTAAAGTAATTTAAGCTGAAAAAGAAAGATTAGTAGCAGCAAAGAACAGACGGACAGATTGACAAGAATGAGTTTTTTTTTTGGACAGCCCACCCTCAACCCCCTCTTAAGTTATTCCAAAAAAGTTAAAAAAAAAACTTTTTGAAGAGGATAAGCCTCGTTCGAGAAAAAATTAAAAGCAAAAACTCGAACGCGCCATTGAAATAATTCAGTCCAGGTAACAATTAAAAAAAACTCCCAGGATCCCAAAGAACATTAAAAATTCATCTAGTCGTTACCCCTTAAAACAAAAAGCAAATTCCCACCCCTACGTTAAAACAATCGACTAGATTCCTCCCCTTACAAAAAAAAAACCCTTACAAATTGAGGTCAACGAGGCACCACTCTCGTATAGATTTATATGGCTCTTCTCCTCTCCCAGTAAATTAAATTAATGGCAAACTTTCAAACATGAAAAAAGCCGAGTTGCTCATTTGCGAAAAGATTTCACTGACCATTTCAAGAAATGCTTCTCTTTCTTTTTGTTTGGAGCTTCTTCCATTGGTCGATGTTCATCCATTCCTATGCTCTCGATTGTATCTGCTTCCGAGTGCTGATAAGTCCTTCTGACTTTCTTATTATTATTATTATTATTATTATTATTATTATTTTATTAGTATTATTGCTTTCACTCTTTACAAAGGAAAAAGCCCCCTTAAATATTACTTAAATTATTTAAAAGGGCGTAAAAAACCTTTAGAGTATGGAGAGAATTGTATATCAATAAATAAATAAATAATTACATAAATATCATAAATAATAAAAAAGTTGTACAAATTCTCATTAAACATCTTAATTAAAAAGAGTTTCAGTGCAATAAATTGCCTTGAAGAAATCTCTTAAATACTCTTAACATATGGAAGCTCTCATTTTAACGGTTACTCAATATTTGAAAATTGATCTACTTTCATTATAACATCTCGGTTCAAAAAAAAATTCTATCCTCTCAGTGTGTTTATAAATAAATAACTCAGTTAAAAATTATCCAATTAGTTAAAATACACAGCATAATCGTGGACATAACAATGTTTAGAATCATTTGTTTGATGGACATTGACATTCTTCATTCAGTCAAGATAAGTTCTTTCTTTTTGTATACATTCCATATTCAATGAATCCAAAAATTTTAAATGAAAACTTTTAATTCTATTTCAGCTCAATTAGATATATTTATCCAGGAATTCACCATTGAAGCACATTTTTATGACGTCTTCTTGTTGAAGAAATGATCTTACTGCACATTTAAAGCCTGGAAAATGATAACTTTTCTTAACATCATCCGGAAGACTATTGAAAATCCTTGGACCAACAGCTGTAATTGCTTTCTTTGCCTTGACTGTTCTTGTTGAGACTGGTTTAAGGTAACTTTTATTTCTACTTCCTTCTCTTGCTTTTTCGAATTTCAAATTCGAGTATACTAGTCCTTTGGTGACTTTATACATAAAACCAGCAGTATTCGCAAAAAATAGTCCTCGTATTGGCAGATTATTATCAACTTTTTCACAGTACATTTCTGTTCTATTCACAAGTCTTTCTAAATTATAGACGTTACGCAGTGCTCTGTTTTGTGTTACTTGAAGAGACTTAATTGCTGTTTCTGGCGCACTTCCCCATAGAGTAATCAGATAAGTCAAGTGAGTTTCTACCAGTGATTTATATATCAACTTTTTTGTTTCCTTGGGAAGGCTTTTTCTCATCTTCCAAAGAATGGCAGTTGCATTGGATATTTTCTTCTGAACTGAACGGATATGTGCATCCCATTTTAAGTTGTCGTCGATAATGAGACCTAGATATCTCATTTCTCTTACTCTTTTAATGACGTAACTTCCTCTGATTCTTGTGCTATCTGAGTCTTTTGACTCTATTTTAATTGCCTCAGTATCATCTGCTTTTGTGCCCGTCTGCTGGATTATCATAAAATTGGTTTTCTCGGCATTCAGCATTAGTTTCTTTTCATTTAAATAATTGATAACGATTTTCATATCATTACAGATTCTTTCATCAATTTTGTCGCAGTTATCGTGGATATTTACTAGGACACTGTCATCAGCATATAAGAAAAGCTTGCCTTCAAGATCCAGATCTGCAATAGAGTTATAAAAAAGAAGAAAAAGCCAGCTTCCCAGAATTGATCCTTGCACTACACCTTGGGTAAATGTTATTGAAGAACTTATCATTCCATTGATTTTGACAACTTGCTGCCTACACGATAGATAGTCTTCGATTAATTTCAGAGCTTGTCCTCTCACACCATAGTTACTAAGGGTAAGTGATAGTTTATTCATATCCACAATATCGAAAGCTCTTTTTAAATCCATAAATACGAGCGAGACTTTCTTCTTTTTATCAAGAGCCATTTGGACGTAATTAATCATTTCGAGTGCTGCTGTCTCTGTTCCTGACCTTTTTCTAAAGCCATATTGATGATTATAAATGATTTTTAAGTAGCCATCAGTAAAATTTGTCAGCCTTTTATAGATTACTTTCTCAGCAATTTTATTAAATGTAGTTAGCACAGAAACCGGTCTGTAATCACCAATTTCGTTCATTTTTCCTGATTTGTTGATTGGAGTTACAATCGCTGTCTTAAAGGCTTTTGGATATATTCCTTGCTTCATCATTTCATTGATAAGATGGACCAGATAGGGTGTAATTTCATTTGCAATCTCTTTGATGTGAATTGCTTTAATTCCATCAACACCTGCTGATGAATTTTTCAGAGACATTATGATTTCCATAACTTCTTCATCATTTGTCTCTTCTAATACCATTGAGTTAGCTACGGATTTCTCATTAATTTTATGCAAACTCTCAGTCAAATTTCTCTTAATATCTTTCACTGACTCAACGAAGTATTTGTTAAATTTTTCAGCTATAGGCAGTGGATCGAAGATTAGTTCGCCTTTTTCATCCTTTATCGCCGTTATTTTATTATTCTTAGTGTTCCGTCCTAAAATCTCATTAAGATTCCTCCATTTCTTTTTTATGTTACATCCAAGTAATGATTTTTTAATAAATCTATCTTTCTCTTCCTTTATTATTTTCTTAAGTCTTATTGATGCTTGTCTCATTCTGTTCTTGAGGACAATATTTCCTTTTTTTCTCTTACACATTCTCATCAGCCTGTCTTTGCTTCTAATTGCATTCATAATTCTCATGTTAAACCACTTGCATATCTTGCTGTCTTTATTGAACTTGAATTTATTTTTCTTTGTTGCTAGCTTAATAGACTCTTTAGTAATTTTAATCAGTTCATCTGCAATTTTGTTAGGATTCCGTTCATTTAAGATTGAGGTTTTTGTCATTTCCATTACAAAAATTTCATTCATTCTTTTCCAATTTGTCCATTCGAGTTCAACAATTTTTTCTTCTTTTTCCTTCTTTATACATGAGAATTCCGTAATAATTATATTATGATCACTTAGCCTTGTATGAATTGTGTAATTCTTTACTGTAGTTTTTTCCATAAAATTTATACAGCAATGATCGATAATACGCCCACTTTCATTTCTTGTCATGAAATTATTAGTGATACTCATGTCATAATTTTTTAGTAATTCAACGTATTGCTCTGAGTCTTTATTGTCTGAATGAGCGTCAAGATTAACATCTCCAATAATAATAATGCGCTTGTCACTTTGAGAAATCTCATATTCAACATCCTGCAGAAATGGCTTAATTGATTGTTGCACAGGATTCCTGTAGTAAGACAAAATTTTGTATTCTTTATCTCCAAAGTTAATGACTATCTTAATCTTCTCAAATGTAGTAGATTCTTTTGTAATACTTGTGATCAATATGCCCTTTTTTACAAATACCATCAATCC